CTAGATAGCGATACAAGTTGATGTCGATAAAATTACTGAACTCTAATTGAAGATTATATCCTTCTAAACGATTAGTTCCCTCTTCCAACTATTCAGTAGCACGACCAAGATAACGAAATTCAATTGCAAAATATCTTAATATCTCAAAAATAATTATTTAGCAATCAAACCTTCACCCTTGTTTGCTTGTTGTGCTTTTGACAACAAAACTTGTCAGACAGCCACGTCTCATTTACAAACAGAAAACTGAGCTGTAACATCAGATAGAACGTATGGAGTCAGTGATAAATGTTCAATACAGCTAATAACGCAAGATAACAGTTTGTGCCAAGAACATTGCAATATTTCGAAAACAACATTGGATTCACACAGTAATTCATGTTGACAAATTCACTCGTGTTAAGCATATGACGTCAAAATTCGATACCAGCCCCTAACGGCGTTCATCTTCCAAAATGGCTGCCGGTTAATGGCGGATCGAAAATCGACGACAATAATGGCAAATTTCAACATGTTCTCTTCATCTAAAATGTAAAATACCTTATTTATGGTATTATTAATAGTATTAACTAGCAAAAACTAAAAAAACCGCCTATCCCCGGATCTCATCGTACCCGCACTTTAAAAGTAAATGTCAAAAATGGCGAGCCCACCATGGTGGAGAAAGGAATTATTGGATTCTGGGTGAAATTTCCGATGTCCGATTCGTGATTTGTCATACGTTTCATCAACTGTTCCTCTTGGGTCGATTGTGTGAATGTTGAATATAAAAACCTAATGCATTGGATGATATCAATAAAAATTCTATTGAGGGGGTAACTTTGTACAACCGAGACTYATCTGTGGACGCCATAAGAGCCTCATTTCATTGGGTTGTTGAATTCATGTCAGTTCAGTCCCGAACTCAGTCCCAAAACCATCGGAAACATTCAGCCAAAGACAAAGAAAAAATTATTAGCCCGATTAGGAACGTATCAAAAAACGTCCACAAACCACACACAAGAAGCTGGAAAAACTTGTATGAGATATCGAATAGAACATGACAGCTCTCAAACTTACAATAAATGTGCAAGAAATTTTTCTATTTCTTGCATTTGCTTTTCATATCCTTCAGCAAGGTCTCGAACCAGCTTGGTAATCTCAGATTTAGATCCACCTAAGCGCACAGAAGCTACGAGTTCACAAATAACACAGGAAAGTTTTGAAGACGCAGATTCCTCTGTTGTTCTACCGCATATCGTAGCTATGACATCTGTAGCTTTGGTAGCAATACCTCCATCAAAGATGTCTGTGATTTTAGGCAAAAGGCTAGAAGTTATCTTTAGTTGAAAATTCTCGCTCAACGCTTTAACTCCTGATGTTCTTACTTCTCCATTACATAACATAGTGCACACAACTGACGCAGACTCGAATGAAGAATCCTCCTTATTTGCAAATGTATCAGCCACAAGCAAGGAACAGAGAATCTGGTCTTTTGAACCAAGGCAGGAGTTTGATTGGTTGAGGTTCTCGACAGCACTTGAAAGATTACTTAGCGTTTCATCAACTCTTTTCATAATCTTCATGTCTTCATCTAGGATCTTTTGAGATTCCTCTATCTTTGTTCTGAACATCGATACCTTATCAACCTCATCTCGCACTGTAGTTAGTTGTATCTCTTCAATACATGACCGAAGTGCATTTTCACTCAGTCCGTCAAGGGTATCTGCTAAATCCCTTATAGAGCTGACAAATGAACGTCTGTTTTTTAGAAAGCGCCTAAGTTCTTTATCAAAATTGCGAGCTTCCTCGATTGAGTTTCTAATCTGATACTTGGTTTTTCTTTCAATAGGTTCTTGGTTTTCTTGAGGGTCTCTTAAAAGATAAAAATAACAATATACGTAAATAGACACCAAAACAAATCGGCGTAGAAGCTACTTTAAAGATTTTTCTTTTCTTTTCTTCTTTGTTGTCATACCAGAAGGAATAATCAAATCTAGCTCCATTCCCAGTTGAGAGCAGTTGTTAAAAATCTCATCTTGTGCTGAAAATTTGTGTTTTTCGTTTTAAGCAGCTTATTCTAGCTTAGACAAAAAAAGCAATCTTATTTTCACTAAAGATAAGGAAATAAACATTCCTAAAAATGATTTTTATTTATGATGAGCAAAATTGGTTACTTTTGTGCAAAAGGGGTGTAAAAATATATACATAAAAGTCATATGATTGAGAATCCGATTGCAGTCCCATATTTTCTGTAAACCATACCTTTCCTCAGCAATTTGGTCTTCGTCAACATGTTCGTGCAATCTTTCTCCTATAAGGAAATATATAGATGCAAAATGGATATATATTTACCACAATTGTATTTTTTATCGATTTCTGATTGGTCAGAAGGTAGTCGTGGTAAATAAACGTACATACCACAGTCGCCTAATTGTTTTTTCTCTTTTTTTTCTGGGATTGTGATCTAATTGTATAGAATATATTTTTGTAGTAAAAAAAAACAAGAAATTTTTGATAGTTCCTCGTTAGATATCCTCTTATTTACGACTTCATCTCTCGTGGATGAACAACACTAAATTTTGATGATTCAATGACGCCAACCATGGTAAATAAGACATATGACCACAATCATAAATTTGTTAAATAAACGCAAAAAAAATCAAAGTCAACAAAAACGATGATAATATTACTAAAATAGAGATACACAAAGAATGTCAGAATGCCATTTTAAGCCATTTAGAATATATACAAAAGATAAGTTGCAATTGTAAATCATAATACCTTGTGGCCAGGAAAACTGCTGCGCTTTCGTGTATACAGCTAGGTCGATCCCAACAATGTTATTAATTTCCGTCCGTAGATTCTGAAGATTTTCTAAATGTTTTTTATGRTCTGGATGGTTTTCGTCAAATAATTTACTATCATCAATAGTACTAACTATATTTTCCATCAATTTCTTTATTTCCTCAAACTGTCTGAGACCTTGAATCACCATACCAAGCTTGTTGCCGTTTTCAACTAACTCTGGATGGTTGTCTGCAAACATATTTCTGTCAATAGACACTACCCTTTCTATTCTTGTCTTTCCTTCGTCACCCTGTGTTAGATCTTGGAGCACCAAACCGAGCTTCTTCAAAATTGCTGCCAACTCTGCCTGGTTTCTATCAGATCTACGCTTGTCAATAGTTACCTTTTCCTCACACTTTCCGACATCTCCAAGCTGCTTATGGAAACTCTTTGAAAAAGTGGTTGGTGTAGGATAGTTGTCAATAGATATGCCTTCGCCACTAGTAYAAAATACCCTTTCCATGTATTTCTTGCATTCCGTACAGAGAACATTCAGACACATCAAAGTAAGCTTGGGAACTGGAAGCACTAATTTGAGGTTATTAAGATGTGTGGATAATGTTGGATGGTTGTCACCATATATACATTTGTCAATAGCAACTGCTCTTTTCATGCATTTCTTGGCTTCTTCATACTGTCTGAGATCTCGAAGCACCAAACAGAGGTTATTTAAATGTATGGCTAATGTTGGATGGTT